CTGTTGCTTTCTGTGTTGCACAGGCAGCATGTTTCTGGTCAAGTAAGCTGTGTTCTCCTTCTTGGGTTGCAGAAGCCTGTTTCGGGTCAAACCAATGTACGCAGCATGCGCGTTGACTTCTGCGCACGTCGTCACTTGCGCTGCGCAGGTGTCCTTTGACGAGTCAGAGGCTGCCCCAGGCGCTTGGAAGCGTCCGCGGAACCAGGCAGATCTGAGCTCCACGGACAGCCAGGCTTGGAGCTCTTTCGTCAAGATGCCCGCCTTGTTTCATGCCATGGCAGGCCATGCTGCTGGCAGCTGGGGGCAGGGATTCCGACGAGGAATCCAAGGCAGTGGTAGCACATGGGTTCCAAGGCCCGCTGATCCCCGTTCTGGTGCAGGCTGCGGACTACGCATCCCAGAAACGAGACATTTCCAGAAATTCCCGCACCTTGCTGCCACCCGTCCCAAGCTTAGCTTGACAACTTGACTTCAACAGGGCCGCGGCCGGCTGGCAATCGCATGCTGACCTGGTGCTAAGGACGCTCGGCTGTCGCCGTGCACCAAGTCTCGTTTCCAAGCCCCAGCACTAGAAAACGTTTTGGATTCGTCGTGGATCCCACCTTCGGTTTCCCCTGCTACATTTTGGCACTGAGTGCCACAATCTTTCAGGGGCCCGCATGCGCAACGTACTCTGGACCAGCTGTTGCCTGTGTACCCGGAGCATCGAGCCTGGATACACCCAGCCCAGGTCTATGTCTTTGTCAAGTGACCACTCGTCCTCACCAAGACGGCAGAGTCGCATATGTTGGAGACCAAGCCGAGACGTTTGGGTTCTTATTCCTGCACCATGCGGATTTCAATCCAAGACTCTGCACACGTTTAAATAGTCATCGCCAGTGCCCGAAGATCATCGTGGACGAGTGGCGCGCCCAGCGTTTTTGGACGGTGTGTGATTCATTGCCACCAGCTGGAGGCGATGTCACAGTCGTCAGGCCGGAAGGTTGGCGAGGCGCGGGTGACCTAGGAACAGGGCAGGAAGATTCTGCTACAGATCAGGGAGGTAGGACTCATTTCGAGCACCTGATTCAGGATTTAGTTGTTAGTTTCTTGTGGAAGAGCTGAATCTGAATTCGCTGGACTAGCTCTGGTTGTGGAAGCTTGTTTTAGGCTTCACCCAACGCAGGTCTTTTGATAGGTTTGCTTGGGATGTTGCTTGCTTCAGCGCCTCCGTTCAGGTGTGACGTTTGGACATGCTTGGGTTCAGGGTAGTCATTGACTATTTGTGTGCGTGTAATTGCCCAACCACTTGCCAGAAATTGCAGCCTTGGCCGAATTCAGATCTTGCAGCTTTCACATCCTGTTCCATTTGCCCTGCCCAGCAAAGCATACCTCTCAGCGCTGAAGGTGGGAGCCCACATATGTTGTGGCAAGCCAGATGTAAGCGGGCGACGGCGTTTGAAGAGGACCTATCATACAAGAGCTGGTTCACAGCGTTTGTCCAGCTTTGTGTGCGCAGAACAAGCGTTTGGAATTTGGAACCTCGATAACGTGTATTTTGTTGCGTAGGCTGCTCTCCCCATTTTGGTGTCTCTGTTTTTAGTCCACTTGCGGCACTAGGCTCATGCCAAGACTAGGTCCTTAGCCGACCTCGAGCCCAAGATGAACTACTCAAACGAGCAGAACGCATGCTGCAAGCGTTGTCAATCTCTAGAGCAGCCTGAAATGAAGCGCAGCCCCACCACAAACCAGCTGTGTTTATAACATGGCTCGCGTCACAACCCAGAGCTTTCCTGCAATGCGAGGTGGGCCGCAGCAGCTCTCCACATCCTAGGGACGATGAGCGCGGGCCTCATGGCGTGCCACGGATTGCTTCGGTCCATCATCCAACGCACGGAGGCGCTCGATCAAGTCAAGGTCGCCATCGCAGGGGATCCGCCCTGAGCGTCTCATGTAAGGTCCAAAGCGCAGTTGGTTGGCAGTTGTTGCGCTTGTATCAAGCCGCAAGCCGGGCAAGCCGGGCAAGCCGGGCAAGCCGGGCAAGCCGGGCAAGCCGGGCAAGCCGGGCAAGCCGGGCAAGCCGTTTGCCCAGGATGCGGCGGTCCTCTCCAGCTTATTTGTCCAGTGACGAGGGGGGAGCTCCAGAGCCTCCAGAGCCTCCGCCAGAGACACTGGGCTTCACAGCGCGCTGAGCGGCTCGTTTGACTCGAGCGGTTCGTTTCCAGGGGATGTCGAAGCCTGGCTTCGGGTTCGCGCACGCCCTCGCAGCTTGCAAGTTTCCGCACCCCTGGCCATGCGTCAAGTTGTGGCCTTCAGTGCCTTGAGCCTTGGCCTTGGACACGTGCCGAGCACCGGAGTCTCGAGTGGACCAGGCAAGTTTCCCACCAATTCAAAGTGCGATGCGATGCATTTGCATGCCTGGCTTGCAAGCCAGTGCTTTCCATGAAGCAAGTGCAGCAAGTTTGACAGGATTGGTTTCGTGATGTTTCGTGCCGATGTACATGGGGCATGCCGGTTTGTCAATGTTTGTCATGCCCCGCGAGAACATGTCTGGGGCATTTGGGCAATGGAAGGCACGCGTAGGCCCGTAGGCGCACGTCTCACTTGCAACCGGCCATACATTTTGCTTGAGGGCTTCTAGCCGTAGCTCCCAGCCCACTGCATCAGAGGGTTTGGGAAACTGGCCGAAATCGGATTTGAAATGCATTCGCTTTCTTGTCCGCCCCCTGCCCCCTGCCCCGTGCCCCGTGCCCTGTGCCCTCCCGCCTGTGCCGCTTTGCTGAGCTCCGCGATGCGACCGCCGTGCCGCTCCGCTCTGCGCGTCGCGCTCGGCTCAGAAGCTGTGGCTGTCCCAAGCCCACCGGCGGCGGCCTCAGCCTGACATGCCCCCGCAGGTCCCCACGTTTCCAGAAATCGGAAGTCCCCTATTAGCATCCCAAAGGTTCTTAGGCTGGGTGTCACTTGGAGGCTCATGGCAGACAGGAGGAATGGCAGGCGTGGAGAAGTGTTGAGATGTCTCGAGCAGAATGCGAACTTGTGATTTTTCGGCTTGCGTGGCGCAAGACTTGGACAGGTCGCCAAACAGAGGTGACGCCCTCGGCGGCTTGAATTTTGGAGCCGAGGTCCTCGTTCCCGCATAAACTGTACCCCCCACCCCTCTCCAACAAGGAAGCAAAATAAATGATATAAAGCACCTTATGGGGGGATCCAGGAGAAGCAAACGTCTTTGGTAATACTGTAGCCTGGTTTGAGGGTGAGTTGGACATGTTTTCTGATGTTTCGATTTGGGTTCCATTTCTTGTATTTCTCAGTGTGGTTGGGTTGCTTTGATAGGTTTGTTGGCTGCTGGTGGCACGCAAACATGATCCAGGATGTTTTTTGAGTAGTTCTTTTTGGTACAACTCAAGCACTTGCTTTTGCAATGGAAGGGAACACCAGTGCCAGTATTTCAGGCCGGACCTTGAACAAGCTGTTTTGGGCAAGGAAAGGATGGGAGCCCTGCTGAAATGCAGCTTGTTTGGGTGTTGTTCTGTCCATATGTTTGGGGTTGGGGAAAAGCAAATTTGACGATGTGGAAATATTTGTTGTTGGGAGGCTCGGTTAAGCTAGACGTATTGCGCGCGTGCCCGCATTTCGCAGGAGCGGGTAGGTGGTTTTGCTGCTGTGTCTAGAGCCAAGGGTAGTTTGCTTGCCCATGGCGAATGGCAAGGTATGGGTTATTGGCCTCGAGCCTTGAACTTCTTGGAGGGCCTTTCTTATGCTCACCACCCTGTGCTACTCCAGCTGCCGCAGGAGACCCACAAATTAGTAGACGGGGAGCTGGTGGAGTGGAACGGGCTGCGGGTGCCGCTCCATTTGGACTGCAACCGGAACTGGTCCTCCCAGTGGACTCGCTGGGGTTGCACCAACTACTTCTTCGCGGTGCCCACGCGTTGGACCAACTGCCAGCTGCACGAGGCCCACGTGGCAGCGAAGCTCCGGGCTTGGCAGCCGCAGCTGCCCCTCATCGACGAGGAGTACAGCGAGCACGTGGCGGTGTACCAGGCCGTGCTCCGCGCCCACGCACGAGCGACGGCCGCGGCCGGCTCCGCGGCCGGCGGAGGCGCTTTTGTGATGGCCGAGCTGGGGGCGCGCTGGGGCACTTGGGGCGCTCGCGCCGCCGCTTTTCTGCGGCGCTTGGAGCCGAAGATGCCCTACGTGCTGCATTTCGTGGAGTCCGAGCCGATGTACTGCGAGGCGCTTCGCCAGGTCATGCAGCTCAACTCCCTTCACTTTGATTTGGATTGCCAGATGGCCTCCAGCAAAAACCTGGCAAACTGGGTTTCCAAGCAGCACCATGTGGATGTCTTGGATTTGGATATCCAAGGCGCAGAGCTTGAGCTTTTAAAAGATTTGCCGCTTCTGTCGGCCATTGGGGATAAGGTGTTTCGCATGATTATTGGAACGCACTCTCCGGATATTCAAGAAGAGTTGCGAGCCTTGTTCAAAGATTGGCTCGTAATATATGACCTGCCCTATGCGAAAGACCGCGATTGCCTTCGAAAGCACTTCCGGGGCGCGCACTTGGGCTTTGCCGTAGAGAGGAGCTACCGGAAAGTAGTGGATTTGGAATGCTACAACTGGAGCCCATGGGGTCGAATGGCCAACTGGGATGGGGAGTTGATTCTGGACAACCCGAAGTTTGTGCGACGCAATCACTTCACCATGACAGACACGCAGCTGGTCCTTGATTTGCTGTAGCCCCTCGTGAGCGCATCCCCATATGCCATGGGCGAGCAAGCGTCAGAGAAAACAGGGTAGTCAACGACCGTATCGTTGACTTTGTGGTGTTTTGGCCTTGCTGGCCTGCTTCCCTTTTGCTCGCACTCGCAAGGCCGCTCGCGTTCACGAGGCGGGCGCAGGAGGGTGCTTGGGCAGAACGAAAGTCGAAGGTCAGGCCACTTTTTGCCAGGGACGCGATGAATCGCAATTTGAGCAGCTTTGTCGTAGAAGGTTGTTGATTCGTCACATGATGCACCGGCATGGCTGTTTGGCTCCACAGCTTGAGTGATGCGCGCGCCTTGTTTTTAGAGTCGGCGTTTGCCTTCATGGGAAGGTGGCGAAATAAAGCCTCCCAGAAGGACAGGAATGATAGGAACGTGAAGGAGAGCTCCGGCCTTGAATGCCTGGATGGATCTGGCCTCAGTACTTCAAAAGCCAATCCTGTGATCGTGGTCAAATCTTCGAATGTTTGTGCTTTGTGTTTTGCTGGGCGGTGGGGGGGGGAAAGGGGGGGCGGCTGGCAGACTTGAATGGCTCTCGGGCTGTGGCGGTACTTTTCTCAGCGGCGCCTTTGCAAAACAAAACGGCGCGTGGGCCTAAAGGCCAAACGTCGAACCGTCGAGCCAAGGAGACTGTGCCGCATGGGTTTCGAGGATCAGCATCGACCCTGCTCTGGCGCTGTTGACGATTAGCATGTCAAAGCCACATTGCCGCAGATCGTCTTCTTTTGAGCCGGTAGTTTCAGTAAATTTCCGCTGATGTAGGGTGAAGACAACGTTCTCGCCCTTCGCCCCGATTTCATCTGTCAGGATTGGACTATCAGACGCTGACATGGAACGCTGGTGCGCTTGGTTTCGAAACTACCTGCCTCGCCGCAAGGGCAGCGGCAAGCTGCAGTTCGGGCAAGTCGACTTTGCTGAGAACAGGACGGGTGAGAGAACGAGAGAGACGCCAAAAAAGCCCTCGGGCATGAGAGGTGTCGGGTGTCTTGTGATGTCTTGCGTGTGCAACTTACGCCCAAAATTCGTCTTTTTATGGGGAAGCATGAGCACAGAGAGATGGTTCCAAATGAGAGATCGTCCAATGTGCGTTCTTTGCGCAAGGTTGACCGCCGCTGGCATCGGCCAACTTTTTTCGACGCTGGCTGATTTGCAGATCCCAGTTCAAGTGCTGAAGCTTCACCACAACAGAATCGCAGAAGGCCGGGCTCGCGGCAGAAGTCCAACATGTGTTGCATTGCCAGTGCAGGCTCCAGCGTCGCAGCATATTTGCAGCTGAGTGACCTTGCCGAATCGTATGGAGATGAATTCGGTTGCGAAACTGTGGCAAGAAGCAAAACGGGATCCTTTTTGACTAATGTAACTGATGAATGAAGTTCTATACGCTAGTGAATGCGCGTCTGCTCTCTGTTGCTTAGTCTCACTGCTTGAGCTGCGGCACCTGGGGCCTGGAGGGCTCGCATTGCCTTCCCTTCTTCGCCTTGCCAGATCTTGCCAGGGTCCTTTTTTTCTTTTGTGCAGGCTCATACCTTCTTCCCTTTCTTTTGGTGGTGGGGTTGACGCACGCGAGATCCGAATGCAAAACTCCAATAGGCCCATAGCCATGGGCCCGAGGTGGGCTACACGAGCTGCACCTCTCCCACAATGAGCTGGACGCAGAGGCCACCCTTCGGATGGTTTGGGTCGTATGAGTTTTCTTTTTGGCAGATCTCCTGACCTCAGGCATCTGCCAGCATTGTTGCCGCCGCAGTGAGGGCCAGAGACAGCTTCGGCGCTTTGTCCTACCCGAGACGGGTCGGAAAAGGACACCTGGCCCCTCTGTGGGCACGGGACTCAGGGACACAGGGACTCAGGTGGCAGGCTGGTGGCATGGCAGTCGCCAAACATGGCCAACACATGGCATACGTTTGATACGAGGGTTGCCCCGGTGCAAAGGTGCGGCTGGAGCAAAACTTCATCGATCACGGAGCCTTCGCGAAGATCTTGGAAGCCAAGCTGGGCGACCGGGGCATGCGAACCTATTGCGACGCGCGCAGCAAATGGCGAGTCCCTCAGATACGCCGAAGGCGCAAGGTGCCCGCTGTATGTTCCCGTCCCTTTCGTGTCTCATGGCCGAGGTGTACGCCGCACAGCTGCGTTCAGCAGGCCGGGCCCTGGGTGGTGCCCCAGAAATCGCGCGGTCGCGGTGCCAGGCAGCTCTCTCAGTGCACTTGAAGAATCTGGTGCAGCAGCGGCGTCCCCCAGGCGAGAAACGCACAGCATAGCATAGGCCAAACGGGCCAGACAGTGGCAGTGAGCTTCGCATGCCTAGCTTTGGCAGCCAAGGGGGCAGATCCGACTCTTTGGATTCCACGGGACCGTGGCAAATAGATGGCCCGGAAGTCGCGCAGATCCTTCGCTTTGACTGGGAGAAGGGAGCTTGGGTACCTGACGTCATAGAAGTTCTTCCACCAGAGCTGGGAGAAACTGACGATTTGTCACAGGGGCTCAAGGCGCTCATTGGTGTCTCTGCTGCAAGGCATATTGCCTATTGCTGTTTCTTTGGAGGACCACGATGTCATGTCGCGATGTCCATGTTATGTCCATGTCATTTGGGTTCCTTTCCAACCGCCGAACCCGTGGGTTGCCTGCAGGCATGGGCAGCGTGCCAGGCCGCGATGCGGAGAACACTCGGGTTCTCAGCCAGGAGGCGAGGCCCGCGGCTTGCGTCAAATGCCTCACAATACAGTTCGCATATTGATTTATGCAATTTTATGCATATGCCACAATTGCGCCTTACAGATCCCAGACGTGTTTTGGCTGAGCTTTGGAGTGGCAGGTTGGTCAGACCATCGGGGCCGATCTCCTGCGATCGCTGCGCGGGGGGCGGGGCCAAGCTCAGACCGTCGAAAGGGCCGTCGAGGTCAAGGAGGTCGAGACCAAAGCCGTGGAAGCAAAGGCTGCAAAGGCTGCAAAGGCTGCAAAGGCTGACGACGCCGACAGTGCACTGCGGATCGAGGCACCGGAATTCCAGCCTGGAGCCAGGCAGGGGGAACTGGGAAGAGCGAACGGATGTGAAGGGGAGAAGCCAAGGCCCAGCGGCTCCGCATGCGTGAAAGTTATCCAACAGGGCATGCATGACAGCTTAAGGCGCCCTCAACGGGCCCCCTGGACAACATGGGCAGACATGTGCCACCACGGTGGAAAAGTTTTTGCAAGCCTTGATTGAGCAAGGCAATCGGCTGAGGATTGCAAGGTTGACCAGAACTGGCTGACAACGTGCCACCTTGAAGCCCCCAAACGGAGCCAAAAGGGAGTCCAATGCATAAATGCAACCAGTTTGTGCCCCTGCCTAGGTGTTTTCTGTCAGATGCCTGCAAAGAGCCGCCAGAAGACTTGCCCATCGAAGAACTCTGGGCAAGTACTAATACTTCTGCTGGTGCATCCGATGCCACAGAGAATTCGGAAGCCGCCCCGCTTGATTCGGTGCATTGCTGTGATCGAAAGGGCGAGAGGGTTTTGGCATGTTGCGACATGTTGCGACTGGGGACATCGAATGTTCCGAGGCCACCGGTGCAGATGTTGCAGAGTCTCCGAATCCAACCCCAGACAGCCGGACCCTTGTGCCAGTGAAATACAGTGAATACAGGTCTTCAACTATGCTTCACCGAGTCTGCCGTTTCTTCTCCACTTGTGTGGTAGCTTGTTTTAGACCTCGCGCCTGAGGTTTGTCCTGCGAGTGCAATTCTGCAAACCCTGGGTCTGCAGAGATGCTTTGCAGCGCTTACTTGTGTTGACATGGCCCCCCAGTAGTAGAGACATGCAGACTTTCAACCCAGTGCCCTTATTCCGCGACAGCCCCTGCGCATGAAAACCATGTGAAACACGCAGTGTGATTTTGGACCGTTGCCTTTTCCAGATAGAGCAGCTCAGGAAGGAGGATGAGGAGACAGGCACTGAGTCCGAGTGGACTGCCGCATTCGCCTTAGTTTGCCGCGTGTTGCAGCTTTGCGATTGGGGAAAGCTGTGGTCATCACCACTGCGCTGCATCCTCCCGTGCCCCACAGGTATCCAATCCAGATGTGGATACGCATGAGGAGCACGGCCAACAGATTCGGAAATATGCCGCTCAACAGCGAGATCGGCCGGAACGCGTTGCGCACGTGCATGAAGTCTTCAACCTTCGCGAAGCAGAGGGGGATGACGTGCTGGACGTATGGAGGCTGCAGCCGCCGGAAGAAAGCTCCGAACCGTCGGATCGGACGCCTGGCTGCACTTAGCAGTGGAGCCTCCTCGTTGGAAGATGTTGCACGGCTGTTGCTGAGGCTGGGGCAATGCTGCACAATGTAAGCTGCAGAATTCAAATGCCCCTGCCCACACCACGGGTAGTATGTTGCGACTTGGCACATGTGTTTTTTTGCGAAGATGGGACTGCACTTGAGCTGAAAGCGGCCACGTCCTCACTTGCATATCTTGCACACCAAAGATGTGGGGCATGATCACACTAGGCATTGGTTCTAGTAGATTGGCCACTGCTTATGGCATCATAGCCTTCCCGTCGGGGAATTGAAATTTAGATCCGTGTTTCAACTGATTGGCGAAATGGAGCAGCAAGCCCCTGCAAGGTGTAATCACACTACAGCTGGCAACCGCCGTGTGATTTTTTCAGAGGGCTTGCTGCTTCATTGACAACTCAAAAATGCAAAGCCTATTGCATAGGCACGTACGCGTACCAAGCCACATGGCGAGGACGGAAGTTCGGAAGATCCATCGATCCCATGGCATTTTGTGCAGAGAGGTGTGTTTGCCACTGGCAGACGCCCTTGCGATGCCTTTGCTTCATTTGTCCACAGCTGCCTGCAACACCATGTGATGACTTTGCAACGAGCCATCCAAGCGTATCATACTGCATGGGAGCGGCAGCTGAGCCTTTCATTGTGTTGGAAATCAACGTGGTCATGCAGCAAGATGCCAAAAAGACAACTGCTTCGCACTTTCAAAGGCCTTGCTTGTTGCACCTAGATGGTCGCTTGCGTCATGCCGATGCTGGGGAAGATTTTGGCTGTGGCACCCCTTCCCGGCCTAGACATGACAAAGCTTGGCAGCCGCCCTGCCCAACCAGCTACCAGCCAAATGGGCTGCCTCTTAAGATTCCTTGCAGATTGGTATAAATTGGTATTAGTTTGTCAAGTGGCGAGCAGGCCAGCCGCGCAAGTCCGCTCCACAGTCCCTCGGCCCTTCTGGCAGCTCCCCAGCCATGAGCTCCGACGAGGATGCGCAGCCTGGCCGGGGCAAGATCCTGCAACGCCAGAAGAGGGAGATCAAGGCCGAGCGCGGAGCCTTCTGCATCCATTCATTCATTGCATTTCATTGCTCACACCAGGCTTTGCAGGAGCAGAAAAGAATAGAAGCAGGCGGATTGTGGCGGTAGTGCAAAGCTGCACATGCGTGAAGACGTGCCTTGAGGAAAGCTGATAAGCTTTGCAAAGGCAAAGCGGGAGAACAAGAAAATCGAAGCAAGGCAGGAGAAGAGGGACCTGGACGAAAAGTTCCGGGTGCTGGAAGAGGAGTTGAAGGCAAAACACGCGGCAGAGCTTGAGAATTTTGAGAGTCCTGAAGCTCGATTGCAGGCAGAGCGCTTGTAACTAATGCACTACAATTCTAACAGGTTTTCAAGCGCGTCAAAGGTGAAGCTCGCGTGTGGACTCAGGATAGCCCTGTCAGCGAGGCCCAGACGGTAAATCCGGAAGGGTTCCTGGAGGTGGAGGAAGGCTGGGAAGCTCATGCCATTCTTGGCACGAACCTGTGATATTGGGGCAAATTATGGGCCAATTGGGCCGAATTGGGTGTTCATCTTTAGGGCCCCCCTGAATGGCGGGTTTCCTTTTGGTTTTCCTCTTGAGATCTTAAGACCACTGAAAAAGGGGTACCCTCAGAACAGGCAGACCCGAATGGGCTGCCAGGCACGAGGAAATCCAGATTGCAGAAGAAGAAGGACCTACTCGCTGAGATTGAGAAGGAGTTGCGCGAGGGCTGAGCCTGGCATCCGTGCTTGTACATAGTCGCCCTTCCGTCTAAGCCGAAAGACGCCTCACTCGCAGCTTCCAAAACCGGACGCGAGTGAGTTCCCACAAGTGCCGAAGCGATAGATGTGCCGATATGAGTGTGACACGACGGAGGTCTCAGATCAGATGCGAGCAGAAGCACCAGCTCAATCCTCAGAGATGTTAGGCCGAAGGAAAGGCCTGAGCCACATCGGAGGCAAGAAGCAATGTGTTGCGTTGGCCAGCGCAACGCTGAGGTAGGGACAGGGCCTCTGTGAATCAGAGGCCATTGACGAGCCTTTTGCCCGAGTGATCCAAGAGCATTTGCTTGAGCCTTTGGGCTGAAAGGGATGGGAACGGAGCCAGCAAACTGATTCCCGAGTTTTCAATTGGCTTTAAGATTTCAGCTGGCAATGCCGCAGGAGTGCGGAAGGCCGGCGCGTTGTTTCTGGCCTGGGCCTATGGTGGGATGCATGCGCAGCTCAGGCGACGCGGCTGCGCCGCAGAGGGTGCGGATACAGTCCTTTGAGGCCCATGCCTTTGGACACGTCTTAAAAATAGACATGAAAAGAGCTGCGTCTTTCTCGGCGCGATGTGCCACACAACTTCCTTCCATGCCTGGCGGCATTGGCCACAGAGGTGGCACCTCCAATGTGCGTGATTGCGCATGGTCAAAGGAACCCCTTGCGCACATCATCCTTGGATGCGCCAAACTTCCAGGAAGTGATTCAACTCTTTCACGGCCAAGTATTTCCACACGTCCTTGTTTGAAACCTACCCACCAGGTAGGTTCTATCCTACTCTATTTTGCCAATCCTGATCTTTGGGTTGGGTCCGGTTGGGTTGTATGTTTGCTGTTTTTTTGTTTGTCTGTCTGTCTGTTTGTGTGTCTGTCTGTCCTTCTGTCTGTCTGCCTCCCTGCCTGTCTGTCTGTCTGTCTGTCTGTCTGTCTGTCTGTCTGTCTGTCTGTCTGTCTGTCTGTCTGTCTGTCTGTCTATTCTTTTTTGTTTCAGTTAGTTTGTTTGTTTGATTAAGGTTGTTTCAGTGTGGTTCAGTTTGTTTGTGTTGGCTGGGTTGGCCAATGTTTGGATTCACTGTGCGCTTGAAATTGTTGGATCTCCCTGAGCTTTCTCTTTGGTGGGCACGGCCTGTCAGTTCTCTGGGCAGGAGATCCTCGCAGCTGTCCGATCTGGAGCAATGCCGTCCGTAATGTCAGCTGGGCAGATCTGGGCTTGCTTTTCTGCTTGTGGGTGGCTTGCTTTGTTGTGTTCTTCTTTTTTTGCGTAGCTCGAAAAACCAGGCCAGCGCGCGCTGGCTCAGCGCTGCCACGCGTAGCAGGCGGCTTCACTCTGCCAGCCCGCCGCAGCCCCACAAAAGCGAGGATGTCAATCCTTGTGTTGCTGTGCGCAAGGTTCTCTGTATGACTCTGGCTGGCATCTTATGGGAAGGGCCGGGAGCAAGCCGGAGATGCGCAATCAACAGAATCCAAAGATGTCCGTATCGAGAGCCGCAGGTTACAGGGGTCAGAATTTTGGCCCCTCCGGTGAAGACTGCCCACCGGCTCACCCGGAGGCAAGGATGTCACGTGCTTCCATAGGCTTCCAGAGGCTCACAGTTGCTGATGCATCCGATGCATCTGTCAGATGCTGGAGCGGGCGAAGGAAGAAGCGAGGAGAACTGAAGAGCAAGGCCGACTCGGCACCTCGCGAGATCGGCCGAATCGGCGCACCGCCCATAGGTCGGCTCGCGGCCAAGAGGGGCCCGATCAACGGTCCCCCAGGTCTTCCCAGCGGAGTAGTGGCCGACGGCCCATCTTGTCTGCCTTTCGACCACCCGCACCTGCATCGCTTGAGGTGGTCGAGCAGAAATACGTGGACTTCTTGCTGGGCCCGGGAGGCGTGAAGAAACATGCACTATACTCTCATAGCCGCCAATCGAGTTGCCTGACGGTTTGGAACTCGGAACTCTTCTGTTATGATTGAGGCCAGTCACTGGCAGCTATCAATCACGCTGCCGGGGTCAACGTGATCCTTGACCAGAGCCACAAGTTCTCTGGGTATAGCCTCGCGAACATCTATGGTTCGGAGGAGCTTCGGATCCATGGCCTGGGCCCTTGGACCAGACAGACGTCAGGACAAAGTGAAAAATGCGAAGCTGGCCATTGACTTCAAGCTCTCTCAATGGCTTCCGCTCAAGGAACGCCGGCTTTCCGGGGGAGCTGTGTCCAGCCAACCGCAGCCCCAGACCTCAAGCAGAGAGTGGCTGCCTCAAGATTTCCCTGCGGGGTATTGGTGCAATGCCGCCCGCTTATCTAAAGAAACGTACGTTTCTTGTCCGGCGCTCGCTGCAAGGTCCGGATTGTGGTTTCGTTCTGGAAGCTATCAGCAGCCACCCAGAGAAGCACAACCAGCGGCGATCATGGACACAGGTGCGACGTGTGGGAGTTGGCGAAATGTGGGTCACAATGTAGCTTTCTTGCTAGGCACTGGTGGCACGTTCGCGCCACAGCCTACCTTGGCAGTTCCAGTTTCACGTTCGCCTGGGCCGTCCCGTCGTCCCGTCGGCCCGCCTCAGGCCCAAAGAGTTCGCGGCATCAAAGAGCTCCGTCGCTGCCTCGACGTGGCCAAGGGCCTGGAGAAGGGTGGGGCACGGCCAGGCTCAAGCCACCGGCGGCCTCCTGTGAAGTGAGAGGGAAGCCAGCCTGACTGACTGGAGAGGGAAGCAAAGTGATTGAAGCCCCAGTCATCCCGAGTCCCATGAGTCCCGATAGCGACATCATGTACTTCTGATAAGGCATCAAGCTGTCAGACAGCTGCGTTGCAGTTGGTCCTCAGCTCGCCCAGAGACCCGCCAGCCCAGCCAGCCTGCAGTGGGTTGCTTAGAAAGCTCCTCGCAACGGCTGCAACATGCTGACATGCTGCCGGAGATCTGTGGAGAAAGAACTTGCGCTGGGATATGTGGGTTGGGTGATACCTCCTGGAGCAGTCTTTAACGGGCCAGTGGCCTGGGCCACAAGCTCTGTGCGACTCGCCGCTCTCGGTCGCAAGAACTACAAAAAAACGCACCCACAAAAGGCCCCCGTAGTATTCCCTAGGACCCTAAAGCGAGCCTTTTCCAGCGCCAGGCATTGAACTGGGAGGCATGTCAAAATCGCTGTCCTCATGCCATCGACGGCCGCGCGCCATGTCCCGGCACGGGGCACTTCGCAGTGCTGCGCAGCGCCGCCGCAACGAGGCAGCTTCCAACGAGGCCTTTGAGGCTTTCTACCAGCGCCAGGAGATCGTTCCAAAGGACGGCACTGCGAAGGGATTGGCCCAGCAAACGTCTTGGGTTGATAGGCAGCGCAGTGCGATCAGAGAACTTGCTCATCGGAACGTTCTCAGGAGAACTCTCATAGAGAACTTGCTTCTAAGCAGCTTGCTTTATAGAACTCACATAGAGTAAATTGCTTAGAGAAACTTGCTCACGACACTTGCTCAAAGAATTCGCATAGAGTAAGTTGCTCAAAGAACTTGCGCGAAGACCTCGTCTACGCAAGATTGTTTGGGCGGGCCACGCTGTAATAGGTTGTGAAAATACAAAACTATCCTTTGATGTGGCGGTGCACTCTTGCCTTAGCCTTGGTCAACTACGTTTTCGGGTCAACTATCCTTTTGGGACAGCTGTCTTCTAGTTTTGCTTGGTGCAACCCAGTTTTCCGGCTCTGAACAAAACCCTGAACTCGCCACCCTACACCCTCCATGCAAGTCACTCTACACTGAGCCTAAGCCCACACACCCTAAGCCCACCCGCAAGCCAACTCTCACTCACTCTAAACCCACCTGAAGCCCACTTCATCCCACCCTAAATCCGCTCTGCCCAGGCTGCCTCTAAACGAACTATAAACCCACCCAAACCGACCCCAAAACCATTCGAAGCCGTCTCAAACTACGAGACAGGACAAATCAAGACATCCCTTGCAGGAGCAATGGGGCGAGTTCATGGAGGCGATGAGGCGACCCATGCCAGTGGTGGTTCGCCTCAACCCAACAAGGCCCCATTGGCAGGAGAGCGAGTTGAGCGAGTGGCAAATGGCGCTTGCCAAACAAAGACCCCAGGGTTCTACCCCCAGAAAAAGAGCGGTTGAGCCAACTTAGACAATGACAATCCTGAAGGTAAACAGTCGTGGTTGCATATTAAGCCTGAAATGTTTTGATTGTGGTTTGAATCCCAGGGAAGAGCTTGGGGCATCTTGTTTTTGAGGAGCTTGAGCGCTCCTTTGCAGACGACCCGCGCTGGATGCGGCTGCCTTGGTTCACGTGCGCATGGCAGTGCAGCGCTGAGAACTACGACGACGCCTTGCGGACGCAGTGCTCAGCTTTGAATAAGTCATACGCGCTGCGATTCCAGGAGCTGGCATACGGCACAGATGTCCCACTTGAGAAGCTGGCAAGGCGCGAATGCGGCATGCAAGTGCATTCCACGAATAGGAGAGCGCGTCCCTGGTGCCTCCGCTGCTGCTGGAGGTGCCAGCTTCGCCAAAAGCGGCAAGCGGGGGCCGCTTGGGGGGTGGGGGGGGGGGAAGCCCGCTCGCCCGGCGTGCCCCCGGCGCGCTTGTGGCGTGCGAGGTGCAGGCTGAGGATCTGCTGCTGGACCTGTGCGCTGCTCCAGGCGTCGAGAGACACGAGAGACACGAGAGACGGGGGCACACGGGGGCACACGAAACCACCCGTCCCGTGTGCCGGTCGGAGTTGTTTGTTTTCCAGGAAGCAAGACCCTGGAATGTATCGAGCTCATGCGCGAGCATGGGAAGCAGGACCTTGCGTCAGTTCAGCTGCAAGTGCATGTTGGCTCTGCAAGGATGCTTCTGTCGTCATTGCCAATGATGCGGACGCTGAGCGCTGCTTTGAGTTGCTGCCGCTTATCACACGCAAGGCACGCCCAAGGATCGCACAGCTTTGGCAGTACGCAGCACCCAGGCAAGGCATCCAGGCTGCGCCGTGGTGCTGGGCAGCGCAGCCAAATACCCAGCACAGTTCCGTGGTCAAGGAGAGCAGCTCTTGCTGCTTGGATTGGAACTTGCTTGGATCCCGTAGAGTCTTCGAGGCTCAAATTGGGGGCACTGAGGTATGATCGGGTACTTGCTGATGTGCCCTGCTCTGGGGATGGCACATTGCGGCGAAGACCGCACTGCTGGGAGTCATGGTCGATAGAGCCTTGGCCATCCGAAAGCCGCGGAGTTTACAGAGCTCTCGCTTGGCCGTGTTTTTTGTTTGTTGGCCCAGGAGTTCCCAATGTCTGTTCACAGCAAGCAGCTGCAGATCTTGTGCCGTGGCTTGCATCTCCTGCGGCCTGGCGGCCGCTTGGTGTACTCCACCTGCAGCATGAACCCCCTGGAGAACGAGGCAGGCACATGGGATTCTCCTCTTCCGGGTCGTCGGTGGGCATGGGGTTTGAGGCTGTGGCGCCTCGCGCCGTCTCACTCGTGCAGGCCGTGGTGGCTGCTGCATTGGCGCGCTTTGGGGACGACGTGGCCTTGCTGCCTGTGGATGGCCTTCGTCTCAAAACTGCGCGTGGCCTGGAAAGCTGGTGGGTGCCCGACCCCCAAAGCCCAGGCGATGCGCACACGTTTCATGGGGGCATCACTTTGTGGTGCACATGTCGGCCTGGCAGGCGTGTACTACAAGTCCTGGGCAGAAGTGCCAACCTCTGCAAGAAAGCCCACTGGCCAGCTGACGGAGAGCATGTTCCCGTGCATTGATGGCTTGGATCGATGCATTCGGCTGAGACTTGGCTTGAGATGCATGAAGATGGTTGAGTGCCCTTGAAAGCGACGCATGCTTGTTCCGGTACTCGCCTTCTTGCCAGGAACCCTCATGATATCGACGGATCTGGGTTTTTCGTGGCCGTTTTGACCAAGAAGCGCCACAGGGCGTTTCCGTTGGAAGTCCCCCAGCAGCCCACCCTGGATCGGATACCATGGAGGGCGAGGAACCAGAACAACTGCTACATGCTGGTGGGCCGCGACAATGTGGATATCGAGTCCATCGCCTTTCGGCAAGCAATTAAGGGGAAGTCTCTGGAGGGGATACGGCCAGCCAGGTGGGATTCTATGGTCTGGACATGCCAGAGCCGCTTTTGGCGGAGTACAACATCAAAGGCAAGCTCACCCAGCTGAATTGGGTGAACCAGGCACTGCTGCAGCTGCTGCGGAGCCATTTGAACTGCAAGGGTTCTCCGCTCCTGGTGTCGGTGGGGGTTCCGCTCTTCAAACTTTTGGACGATAACTTCATGACAAACATCGATGTTCCATCGCGGTGGCGACCCGCTATGGAGGGGGCTTCCACCCTGGCACCGCGAATGACCAAGAGAGTGCTAAAGATCAGCCTGGATGAGATGAGGACAGCCGAAGCTTCCGGCTTGGTGAATGGGTGTGGGGCCCTCGGAAACCAATTTTGGCTGTTCCTGGGACTTGGGCTGATTTCTCCGTAGGAGCCTGCTGATGACACGGGTGCTGCCCATGAAACGGCTGCTTTCTCTGGCTGCCTCCGGAGAACTGCAGGGCCTCCAAGGTTGCGAGGACAAGCTGGGCGGCGCCGTGGTGGGCACCGCAGACGGCTCCTTTTGGGTGCCTTGCATCATCACAGGCGGGATTTTGATCGATACGGAATGGAGCATGAATGGAGCATGATTCGCAAATGATCCGTCGCAGGGACTGGCCTGGAGGTCTACGCCAGCTTGGAGGAGATCGGTGATCCCCTGCCAAAGCTGCTGCCGCCTATGCGGCCGGAGGTGGTTTGCCAAGGTCCTGGATATGTGGTTTTAAACAAGCCAAGTGGTTTGCGCACCGAAGACGCGCTGCGTCTTTCGGCGGCACCGGCGGCGCGCTGACTCGAGTCTGCACTGCTGACAGCTGAGGTTTTGTGCAGGAGACGAGCCCATCAGCAGAACTTGTCTCAAGATTGGACAAGGGTACCAGTGGTTGCTTGCTGATCCCCCTCTCGGCAGATGCTGCCAGGGATTTCACGCAACAGTTTGCAGGAACCAAGGCAGGGCACCGGGGTCGCCTTCTGCTTGATTTCTTTAGTCCAGAGTGTCCTTGGCCCTTTGCCCGGTCTAAACCGCTGAGGTCGCCAAGACCTACGTCGCCTTGGTGCACGGCCACCCGGAGCCTTCCGGCCGCATCGATGCGGCGCTGGGCCTTCAGCAGCAGGGCGGCGGCGCCAAGTACCGGGCCTTCGCAGATGCCTCGGGCAAGGCACGGGTCGGGAGAACTCCAAAACCCGACCGCAGGGAAGCCCGACCGACTGGCCAGATTTGTACCTTTCACAATTTGAGACTCGGGGCTCGAGAGATGGCACTTTGAAGCGTATGTGAAAGTCTCCTACCATCTCAGCATGTTAACATGCTGGGCCGCAGCCATTTAGGCCATTTGCCTTTTGATTTCAAATGTCCAAAGTGGCGGAGGGTTCCGCGAAGCATGGTGTGCCCTCGCCATGTGGGCGACCTGGCGAATGCCAGCGGTTCAGCACCAACTTCTGTGAACCTTTGCGATTCTTACACCTGCGCTTTCTGGGTATACATGACAGTCATTATATTGGAGTAAATCGAATCCATCTATTCTCCGGTGAGGCCGAGCAGCCATTCAAAGTATTGATGGCTGATGGCTCCAAAGAATCGGCGGCGGCAGCGGGGTGCGTTGCTGGAGGTGGCGGTTGGTGGGCTGCGTCTGGCAAGGAGCATTCGCTGCTTTTGCAGCTAGAGGACCCTGTGTGTGTGTTTCCCACGTGGGTTTGTGGTGTGCCAATGTTGGGGCAACACCATTGGAGATTGAGATTGGCGATGCTAAGCCACTTTTCCCAGACGTTTGCGCTTCAGAGGAACCTAAAGAAGCGGATCTTAGTGTCAATCAGGCCGACCCGATGGTTCACGAAGTCGCCCCCGGGTGTGGTCAGAACGATGATGAATGCCAGTTTTATGAGGTGAAAGGTTCCTGCAACACGCGGCAAATCAAGCATTTGCTCCTGCTGTTCAAGGGCATCCACAACAGCCATTACATTGGAATCAATCGTGTGCGAATTTTCAACAAGGAGACGGAGATCAAATTTCAAGTTCTTGCAGCGGATGGGAGCAAGGAAGAGGCTGAGAATGTCAATCGGAAAGGTGGCTGGTCGGCAATTTCGGGATGCGAGCATTTCTTGGCTGTAGAGTTGGAAGAAGCAGCACCCATCACATCTGTCGGCCTTTGGTGCGCAAATGCGGAGGCAACACCAAAAGAGCTCCATGTAGTCAGCGATATGGATTGGGTTGAAGACTTGACGAGTGTTCTTGAACGCCTGGCATCTGAGAAATCACTGGCTTTGGGTAGAAACGCCCGCCAGGCCATCGAGAGGAACACAGGCCTCTTGTTGGGCCTTGCTCAGGGGAAAGAGCGGCTCCATTGGGCCCTCTTGGTCCAAGTCTGGGCAGGTGAAGCGCCGACATTTCCCATCCGCAAAACCGATGCCCTGGGTCGACTTCAAGCCCGCCTCATGTCTGATGTACAAAGTCAAAAGTCAAAAGACATCGCCGGTTTGGCTTGGCAGTGCTTTCCCTCAGGGAAGATGCCTTCATTGGAGGAGACATGTGTAGAGGTGGAATCACGTTTGCTTTGGCCTGCGGAAGGCCATGGTCCAGAGTGGTTGGGCACCGGTCTCTACATGCCACCTGGCGGCAAAGTCAGCATCAGCTCTGATGGCGATACGAAGGGTTGGTCAGTCCGGATTGGTGCACACACTGATGACGTCAGCTGCAGAGATGAGTGGCGCAGATGGCCGCGGGTGAGCAAAATCCAGGCACTGGCGGGGCCAAAGCTATCCGTCTCCAGCCCTTTCGGTGGAAACGTCTACTTGGTCCGCTGCAATAAGGCCTCAAAGCAATTGAAGGCCACATTTAGCGGCAATTTGGTGCACCAAGCAGTGAGCATTGAGAAAGGTGTGGTTGGCATCGAGAACAGCCCTGGTGGATGGGTGGATTGCGAGGGTCGAAGGGTCATACTTACCTTACCAGTTCATTCAGTACGCAGTGCCATGGCGACTGGATATCATGGGGGCGCTGGACTTCTATGACCGGCTGTGGGCTTGCTACCATGAGTTGAGCCCCCAGATCCGAGACAACGAATTGTCCAAACTCTGGGCTTCATGCACTCCGGATACCCGAGTTACCTCTGGGCTTCATCATGACCCACTTTGAAGGCGTGGACACCAGCGACGCCCAGCCGATTCCCGCGGCCTTAGATTTGGGGCGGAGGAAAGAGGGGAGCTATGGGAGCTGGGGTCTCTTCGAGCTGGGCCACAACATGCAACGGAAATCCCGGACCTTCCGCGGCACCGTGGAGGTCACGGTGAATTTGTTCACGCTTTGGGGGATTGAGAAGCTCTGTGATATGGAAAAGCCGCACCCCAACTTCCGCACAGACATACCAGCTGACTTTGTAGCTGCAGGATCTCCCAGAGACAAGTGGGAGAGTGATCCCTTCTTGGCACTGCGAACTTATACGCAGGTGATTTCCGCCTTCGGTTGGAAGGCGCTGCAAGCAGCCTTCAAGGTTTACGCGGACGAGGGTGAGGTGCCTCGAGACTATGCCCAGCAAGTACGCTGCTTCGTGCGGCTTTGGTCGCTTGAACCTTGTCTGCTATTGGATCTTTAGACTTTAGCTTTTTGGGAAGTGAAGGGATTTTACACAACCCACAAAAAATAACTTTTTGCAGAGGGGTCAACAGCAAAGGAACTGGGTCGTGATATTCGGCCTCATTGGCGCAGCTGGGGTTTCCAGGAGGAGTTGAGAGGTGCAGAGCCCCAGCTGGACCAGCTGAAGCCCTGGAGTTTTCACGGATGTGAGCCGGTGACGCAAGTGCCCTAGAATGGGCTCGGTGTGGGAAAAAAGCGTGACTGGGGTGTTTTGGTATTTTGGAAGTGCTCGTTCGCGCATCTCGCGCTTTTGCATTCAGGGCACAGGGCAGAGATCACATGTTGACATATTCGATGTACGGTATGGCTGCTTTGGTCCTAAGAATTTTGTAGGAGTGCTACGACTGCTTTGGTGCGAATATTGTTTCCCCAGTGAGCCGCCTGCAATGTCGAACTTGTCCCCTGGTGACCGCCTGCAAGTTGCTGTGTTCGACACATGCGGAAAGGGAGGGCCTTTCGGCGCCGGGCTAGCTTTCAAGGAGCTCTAGCATTGATAGTCCTACTGTCAACGTCAAACAGCAGTCTTCGAAGGAGGCCCACATTATAATTTATTTCTTGTTGTTTGTTTGATCACGCTCGGAAGGCGGCCATTACGCGCTACAAGATGATCTGGAAGAGCAAAGAAGGCGGGAAATGGCATAGGGAGTTCGATTCAGGTTACGGGTGACTTGCGTTGGTGCGGAAAGGAATGGCACTGCCGTTGCTGAAGCATTCCATTTGGCACTGCCTGACCAGGTGTGGCTTTGCTGCTGGTCTTCCCAGAGACCGGACGACCCTTGGCGGCCATGCACGATCATGCAAGATCATGCAAGTCTAGAGTGCGCAATTTCTGGTGGTCCTAAGTGGCTTTGGCTGCCGCAGGAACTCACCAAATCCGTTGTCACATGGCGCACATTGGGCACCCACTCGTCGGCGACACAAAGTACGGAGGGCATCCCGTAGCCTGGTGCAAACGCTTGGCCTTGCACTGTCTGGCCCTGGAAGCTTTGGATGTTGAGGGGTCTGTGAGAGCCTTCGCAGCGCTGCCACGGGATTTCGTGAGCATGCTGAACGCCTTGGAGCAACTGGACTGGCGGGCGCTGGTGGAGCACAAGGACTAGACGTGACCCATCGACCTTCCATCTCGTTCCCGAGTTCACGCCCGAGATCTCGGAGTTGGCGACGCTTGGGCCCGCCTTGGCTGCGCGCCATGTAAGAGGGGCCTCCGCCTGAAGCACGGGAAGGACGCTGCGAGAAACAGAGCGACGGCAGCTTAGCTCCGTGAGGGGGTTTAATTGGTTGAATGCCGTTGCCATGTCAGCTGTCGTCATGTAACACCAAGGCATATCCGACATGGCCGATCATCACTGTTCGTGTGGGCTTGGGTCGGCCACTTGCGCACAGCGCCCCATCACCAAAAGATACAGGATGTGAACCACTGCGAGAATGTTGCGAAATCACGACATCCAACAACATCCAACATAGGAACACATGCGCCATGGCTCGGCAGTTTTGGGCCGTGCATTTGCAGCGAGACGTGGTGGCCAGTGTGGAGGTTACTGCGCGATGTTACGGCGCCGATGTTTGAGAGCTTGCAGCAGATTGGCAGCACATGTCAGCCGCGAAAGGAACTCACGGGGGAACTCAGGATTTCACAACCCTTGTGCACTGCATGAAGTTATGAATAGATATGCACAAACAAGAGAAGCAAAAACCCTTGTTGATTAGTCAGGGGCGTCCCATTTAAGAGGAGCCCTTTTAGCGCACCCCAGAGAAGCCGCCACAACGGGAGTACCATGGACTCAAGCCATGGCAGGTGCCTGAGGGGAAGACCCTGCACCTCTCTCGGGCAGGGCGCTGGAGCGTGTGTTTTTTGTGGTTGGTTTTGTGATGCATGCGGGAAGAAGCCAAGAAGTCGGTTGCGTTTTCTGGGCCTGCAAGGCTTGTCCAACTTCTTCGAGCGGACCGATTCGACTGTTTGTCTTGCGCTCAGATTTTGGGGGTGCAAGATGCATGTGATTCCAACAGTGGCAGCAAGATGCATGCCAAGGTCAGCAGGGTTGCACGAAGCCCTGGCCTCGGGCATTGGAGATTTGGCACGCCGCATGAACTCCCAGGCTCCGGGGAAGTGCCGGCCCAGTTTGCCTTCACGCTTTCAACAGGCCGAGGATCTGTGCGGCTCAGTGGGCTATGGGTGGTGCTGTGGCAGGTGGTACCACGCTGGGCTTGCTGCTGACTGGGTGCTGGCAGCTCCAGGTGGTGAGAGGCAGTACAGTGCAACCTCATGAATGATACTTGTATGCTTTGTGCACAGGACAGGCATGCATTTTTTGATTCAGGGCCGAGCAATGTGGATGTGATGGGCTACTTTGCGCAAGGAGGCACATGGGAGCCCATGGGTTGAGACTGTTGAGGCAACCAACCGCAGGTCGGAGCAAACGCCGCCGGGCGCCCAAGAGGACTTGTGCGACGGCAATATGCAGAATGAGTTGCATATATCATATTTCATTGGTTTGACCCATGTCCACAGGCATTTCATTACCAACGTTTCTGCATGCAGGAGGTTGCGGCCGGTTCGGTTGCCTCCAGGAGACTGTGGCTTTGCATTGCGCTATGGCGCCGTGATGTCGTGAATTGGAGGCTGGGCGGCGCTGTCCTTCCGAAGCTTGGGCAAGCGCTTGGCCCCTCGGCCTGCACCCTGGAGCCGAGCTGGACGCGGCACGCCCTAGCGAGCCAGCTCAACATCCAACTCTTTGCCATGAGTGGAGCAGGTCAACGACTTTGTTGCATTGCAAGCCTGAAATTTGAAACCGTTTTTCTCCCTCGGGGAGTTCTATGCTCCGCGTTGAGTCAGGTGGTGACGGAAGTGCCCAAAGCTTGCTTCTCCTCTGCAGCTTTTGGAGCAGCAGCCGCTGCCCAGGTGTCCAACGTGCTGGCCTCAACCGCTGCTATAGATGGCCATTGCCTCCGCAGAGGTCTTTGTTGGCGATGAGATTGCTGCAGCCTAAGTTGAATCCGGTTCCAACCATCCGGTTCAGACCATCTCTGAGACATCAGCACCAAGGCCTTCATCAACAACAAGCGCCCGGATGTTTTGGCGAGGCTTATCGCGCGTCCGGGGCACACGCTGAACACCTGCAGCCAAGCTGAGCCGCCACACGACCCGGGAAGCGCGCGGGAGCTTAGCGCACAGCGAAACACGAGAGAGAAAGAGCGAGAGAGAGGGAGAAAGCGCAAAATGTTCTTTGGGGCAGTCCGGGTTCCATGAGACGCGGACGGACCAGGTGGGCAAGCTGCAGTCTCCGCCGTGCGTCTCCTGCGATTTCGTGCGGCGGCTGCGCGACCTGGGCCTGGACATCAACGGGCGGCGAAGCAAACTGCAGAACCAAACGAAAAGTTATGCAAGTGCGGAATGGTTTGCTCATATTTGGTTCTGATTGGCATGTGGGATTTGCTTTGCCACTTCCGCATTGGGGCCAACTTTGTTTGGGTAGCGGCAAGACCCAGGGCAAGTGGGTTTGCGTCGGTGCGCACGAAGGACGTTGCGCTACAGATGTGGCTGCGGGTCGTCAAGCATTTGGGCTGCAAAGTTGATTAGACATGAGATTCGAGTCCCACAATTCCAGTAATGTTGCCTTGCAGTACTGCCTGAGTGCCTGAGTCCCCTTTGACTGGGTTGCACCCTCCATGGTCCTCGGTTCTGCCTTGCACTTTTGCTTAGGCAGCAGATGCCAATCACACTTGGCGTTCCAGACTCGGAGTGTAGCAGATGGCAAGGCTTGCATGTTGTGTCCCATTCCTCGAGCACAAGGTGCGGCCAAAGGCTGCCGCAGCCGGGCCTCGGATCGAATGCCGAACTGTGCCAGATACCTTGGGAACCTCCAAGGAGCGCTTGCTGAAGCCGATCACTTCCCAAGCCCCACATCGCAGGACTCGCAACCCGGCGAGCGCGGAAGGTCTCGCAGCCCCCGGATTGAAGCAAAATCCAGCGCGGGACCCGGTGGTTGCCGCAGAACTTGCGCCCATGCTCCGATGGCGGAGCAAGTTGATTGGTTCTGGCGGATTATGGCGCAAGTTGCCTGACGGGCACTCTGGCTGGTTCAAAGGTCGTGCCGCAACGCTGACCGGATACTGCATGGGTTTCATTTGAAGAGGCCAAAGCGGAAACAATTCTAGGGGGCCACAATTTTGAGAAAGTCCCATAGGTTTATCCAGCAAGGCCCGAACAGACTCAAGGGGATTGTGGCACGAATTGCACACGTCAGGCTACAATCCACTGAGACCTGCTGCTGCTGGGCGCTCAGCTTGCGATGCGCCGCCTTTCGGGGGAAGGCACACCATAAGCCTGCAGAACGAATGGGCAGCAGAGACTGAGGGACTGGATGTGCAGGATAATAAGGGTGCAAGGGGGAGAGAGAGAGAGAGAGGGAGGACTGCAGTTTCGCGGGTCCGCTCAACGGCCAACTAATATTTGATGTCAGCACAGGTCTCGCAGCAGGTGCAGCATGTCAAGGCCGCCCCGAAGGCAGAAGGGCCTTCCACCGGGGAGCTGCACTCAGAGAGGGTGGTGTGCTGATAGCAAGATAGCGGAGAAGGAGAAGTCAATCAAATTGAAAACGAGAAAACATGTTCAAAGCCTCGCTGAGGAGTATGTTGCTTGTTTTTGTCTGCATGGAATGGGGAGAGTCGGAGCTGAGTTGGGCGTTGCTTGGATCACCTGTGCTCATCCGTGCTCAGCCTGTCCGGCGGCTCGCGAGCGGATTGTCATTCCAAGAGCTTCCAGCCAAAGGCGGGATGACCCGCACACCTGAGCATCAAAATGCGTCAAGCAAGGTGCTGGGAAGGGTGGTGCGGATGGAAGGGAGGCACGGCCCTGAATTGTATGTGCCTGAGCAGTGAAACCGTGGAATGACTTGTCAGGCTGAGATCGGGAAGCAGGCGCATCTTTGTTGCTGTGGCGCGCAGGGTGCTTGCCCTCTCGCACATGCCACTCAAACCGGAAAGGTCGAGTTCCGCTTCTCAATTGCCACCATGGGTGGCAAAGACAAGGCCTGCGACAGAAATCTGACCTGAGCTGAAAGAAAGTCGCCATCTCAGGTACTCGAGAGGGGGCAGGTGCGTGGGCCTGAGGGGCATCATTGGCATGGACTTGGTCCGAGCCAAGTGAACGGAGCCGCTCCGCGTCGCTTTGCAGGCACTGCACTTTGGGCAAGAGCGCAGTGCTGGATGGCTGGGTCTGACGCCTAGCCTGGCTATGATTGGCTATGGGGCGAGCACAGGGTGCTTCTATGAGGTGTCTGGCAACGTCAACTTGGAGGAGGTTTTGGGGACCTGGGGCCCTGCTTTGGCAGGCATGCGCTGCGGCCCCAGCGAGTGTTCGAACGCTTGGGATTCACGGCTCGTATCGGCGCTCGCTCGTGTGAGGTGTGGGCCAGCGGCGACGCATCAACGTGCCGGCCAGACTGGGCTTCCGCGAGGCGCGCGCCAGCCGGAGCAGCAGCAATAAGCATGGATTCAGATGGATTCAGATGGATTGAGATGGATGCGGGGGATATATCGGATTGGGAGTCGGAAGTCGGCCGCAGGCCGGGCCAGAAAACACAGACTTGACCTTTGAAGTGGAGCTGAAGCAAGTGAAGTGACTTGCCGACGCAGCGTCAGCAAGATGAGAAGGGGCGTTCTTGCATTGTTGGATGTTGCTGGGATAAGTTTGTCGAATGGTTGCGCGCAGCTCCACCGAAGCTTGCGCAGAAGGTCTGAGAAAAGGTCCTAGGTTGAAGCAACACTGAAAGCGAGAGCCCGCCAGTGCAGCGGCCGTCTCGACAGCACCACTTAGAGGGGCGAGCAGAAGAGATGCACGAATCACAGTAGCAAATACCAGATATTTGGTCATACTCTCCACAGACAAGCCGGCATGAAGATCCGTCACTGCGGGCTGGGCTTGTGAGACTTACCACAACTTGAGCCCTGTGCGTCGGCCGGGATGCCAAGCGGAGGCAGGTATGTCAACAGTCTCGGACATGCCAAGCAAACAATCATCTCACCGCTTGCTAGCAGCATCAACAAGCGGCTTCTGAGCTTCCAACTTGCCCACAGGAGATCCGGGGACCGCCTCAGCCAAGGCCGTGCAAGCAATCTTGGTATGGTTCATGGCCTGCTGCTGCAGGGGAAGGGAAAAGGAAGCGGCTACAAAGAGAATGGCGAGAAAGAGAGGCCTCGAAATGATGAGCTTGATGGCATTCGGTTGAAACTGACCGGTGGGAGCTGGTGTGGTGGTCCACGCGCTGAGGCCATCAGACGAAGTCTTGGCGGCTGAGCTGTGCGAGGCATGTGTTGCCTTGCTGGACCGCCTTCACCCACCACTTTACAAGAGTCACAGTGTTGTGCGCTTCTTCGCTTCTTCGCTCATGTTGGACCCTGTGACAGGCAATTAACGGTGGCGCAACCACCCAGGCAGAGGCTTTGTTCAGCGATGGCCTCGACGCAGTGACGAGATAGGTTGCTTTCCACGGGCTAAGGTCGCCTTGACGTGGAGCTGAGGAAGCAGGAGAGCTCTCGAGAGCTAGCCAAGCCGTGAGTCAGGAGGCTTGCGAGAGAGTGAGGGTTTGCTTCGATGCGCGAGGACTCGCTTCGCCTGCAGTGCCGGGCGACGCAGGAGGACGCTGCCGCCGTGGCAGCTCCTGCCTCAATGCTCAAGGCTGCAAGGCTGCACGGCCGGAATCCGGCCAACCCGTCTCTGTGCGATCTGCGATCTACCGATTGGATGAGCTTGGCAAGCGCCCCCTCCCCCCGCCATGCTCAAGAAATCTCGCAATCAGGCATTGCCAGACTGTGGGTCAGATAGTTCTGGAGACGAGAGGCCATCCTGCAAGCCTTGTTGCAGCAACGGCTTGCAAGGTGATAGGATGGAAGACTTTGGCAGGTCTGGCGTCAGAATTCAGAAGAAGGACTAACTTCATGCGGAAAAATGTGCATGCGTCGAGTGCCTGCCACGGGGCAGCTCACTAGAGATTGGAGAGTTTGCAAGCGTGTGACCAGCGAAAGCTGTCCAGTATAGACGTTATGTGCCGGTCATCAACAACGTCCAAGCGCACATACGCAGCAGTTTTTGGGATCGGGTCTGCGGGGAGGGTCACTGCAAAGCTTGTCCTTCGGCTTGGACCTCAGAACGAGTGCGCGCAACATGCTCAGCCTCTCTTGCCCAAGCTTGTCGTGTGCTTGCTGTTCGACGTGTTTGCGTTGTGATCCGTTTGCCGGCTGCTTGGCCTTGCGGGTCAGGCCCGTCCAAGTCCGTCCAGTCTGGCCACGCCTCGACGCCTTGGGCTGAGCAAGCATGCAGGCAAGCAGAGACTTGACCCGATTGGATCTAGGAGAGGCAGTACAGGGTCGCAGGACCTCAGGACGATGGAAGTCGACAGTCTCGCTGCCTCACCGTATCGTTTGCCCAAGGACATGCAAAGGACGGAAGAGGCGCGCTCAGCAATCTCGATGCAAACTGTTCGCTCGCCGGAAAGGTGCAGCGCCTCACCGAGCACGGCTGCTCCGTGCTATGCTTGGGCTGCCCTGAAGGCCTGGAGTCTGAGTCACGTGTGTCACGTGTGTCACGTGTGCCACGTGCAAGGCATGCTGTTCGGCATTGACTACGCAGCCTGGACTGTTGGGCCACAGTGGCTTGGCCACCACCTGATGACAGCCCCAACGCATGCAATGTGCACGGCAGGATCATTGCCAATTGACACATGAAGCAGCAAAGTCACCGAGGTTTATGGGAGTGAAACTTGTCCCTCCTGGCCTGCATTATGTCTACAGCAGCGCAAGCCTGGCTCCAGATGTTGCATCAATGTGAGGGCACAGCATGCATTGAGAAGGCTCTACTGATGTGGGCATTGCTCGGACGGGCTTCTTCCTCTACATGAGGCAAGGAGCGGCAAGCGCACGCCCTCCCAACCGGTCCACATGTTGCTTACCGCCACCAGGCCAAAGGATGTGGCAGTGTTCCGATGGGACGTGGAGAACGAAGAACTATCCAGACCGGACAGCCGCTAGCCATCCCTTCCTCCTGATTCTTGCAAACTCTTGTCACCGAGGTCAAGATGAGGAGGCCAGATATGCTGATGGCGTCCGCAGCTTCGACTTCGACCGAAATCTAGGCCACTGGCCTTTTCTTGTTGCATGTTGAATATGCGGCCACCTGTTCACATGTGTTCAGCACAGGCCCCTATCCGTTAGAGCTTCGAGAGCAATGGGCGGAGCTGACTAGACATGCTCGGCACCCAGCGATCTCAGGTCAACTACTTGTGCCGGACGTAAATCCACACGGAAATGTCCACTAAAGGGTCCACATCAATCCACATGTCGACCTGGAAGTTTCTAAGAGAATCAGCTTTGGCAAGGTTCTGGCAACAATTAGTAGATGGATGCATTCTGATTTGTGCAGCCTGCTGATAATGCGAGAGAGGCCACGAAACCGCAGAACAAGGCGGAACAAGTACGCTTTGGTTGGCAAGCTGGGCGTGCGAAGTTTGCCATGCCATGATTGCATACAACATTCCGGAGTCCAACCAAATTACTTTATGACTATCAGTGCTCCTGCACTGCTGTTGGCCAGTCTGGCAAAAAGAGAAAAAGTTGCCGTATCGTTTTCGCAATAGGTTCGCCCTGACTTCCCTCCCTCCCTCCCTCCCTCCCTCCCTCCCTCCCTCCCTCCCTCCCTCCCTCCCTCCCTCCCTCCCTCCTCCCTCCCTCCCTCCCTCCCTCCCTCCCTCCCTCCCTCCCTCCCTCCCTGTGACTGCAATTCTCCACGCGTTTGAAGGCTGTGGCTTGCAAAGGGGTGAGATGCAAAAGCTGTTGGATGAACAATTGTGATTTGCTTTGGGACGACTTCCCTCGTCCTGCGTGTTGCCGATGTTTCCGATGCTTCCTGAGTCGGCATAGTCTTGCATCGAGGCTACGGCTGAGCTGGTGCAGAAGGTTGAGCCGGTTTCTGGCAGGGTGAGATCTAGACGCGCCGAGTACGACGCCCCTTGCTTCAGATTGGGCATGGAGGGATTATGTGATTCTGGTCGGCAGATCCTTGAATCTTGGCACAGGCCAAGGCCAAAGATGAGCCGGAAGTTGCTGGGTGGCCCAGGGAGTTTGCTGGCCCCGTGAGCTTTTTCACCCGGGCCATTTGAAGGTCGATGCGACGCCAGCCACCCAGGGCCGGTGTTGGCAAACGGCTGGCACTGCATGGTTTGAGGCTAGCGATGGAGTCCAACACGGGTGAGCCCCCTGAGCCTGTTCAAAGCGACCGGGGTTGCAAGCAGTAGTGCCTTGAGGCTCGCTGTTTTTCACATCAGTGCCAAGAATTCGGAGAAAGGCCTGGGAAGTTTGCCTTTGAAGAGGAAGGGAAAGATCGGAAGGCGGGAAACGCAGCAGAGACCACGCGGACCGCGCCTTACCAAATGACCCCATGCCCTACAGCAGTGAGCCAACCACCAGAGGCTCCACATGGACCGCACTGCGCAGCTAGAGGAGAGGGTGCTCAGAAGTTCTTGTCTTTCGCACAAGCAGCGATGTGCAGGAGATGATCTCCCAGGCGTACTCGGGCAATGAGTTCGCAATTCTGGGGGACTGGAGCTGGTCGAGCTGTTTGGATCTGTGTTTGGTGTAGTCCAGTGGTTAGTGGTTCGTCCTATGTGCCGCTTTGATCGGAGGAGCTGCAGCTCGCCTACATCGCCTTCCTGCTGGGGCAGAATTTTGACGGTTTTGAGCAGCTTGCAGCTCAGAGAGGCACACGAGCAACAATCACAACGTTCAAAGGGCGGCTTGCCCATCTATGTTAGTTGAACATAGTTGAACCAACTCTAAAGCTAGTCACCCTACACCTTTTGGACCAACCCATCCCAAATCGCACTGGGTGCGACCTAATCGACGCGGAACCCACCAAACGCTTGGCTCTTGGCCACTTCGTTAGAAGCCTGGAGGCCCACACTAGGCTAGACCAACCCTTATCCCACGCCCCTCTCTACAGACCTAAGCCTAAATCCACCTCACAAGGCTACCAGCCAAGAAACCGGAAAGCTGCCTGTTTTCTGGCTGAATGGGGTGGTGCTTGGGAAACGCAAGGTGGCGAGCCCTGCTGCAGCTGCTGTGCAGTTGTGAGGAGGCTGCCATGAGGCGCACAGAGCCCGAAGCTCGGGTTCTGATCACTTCAGAAAACAATGTCAAACATCCAAGACATCTAGACCTGACGTCAACCTCTGGGAACCCGGGCAGATGTGCACACGAGGCTTTTCGCGGAGCTTCTGCGAGTCTTTTTCGCGCAGCTGAGTCAGGCCGGCTCGGCCTTTCGGCCTTTCTGAGAGCCGACAGCGCAGGCGCCTTCAGATCTCTTCGGCGACGATCTGACAAAGGCCTCGCCTGAGTTTGATGAGGCGAATGCTCACCTACATTGCGAAAGGACAACTTCATGGGAAGCTGTGCGCTTTCCCTCCTGGAAATTTGTGAGACGGACGCCTCTTGGCGTTACACAACACGTCAAAAAATCGAGGCGGCATTCGTTGAAATGGTCACTGCGGTCTCGCCATGTTCGCTTAGGCCCCGAAGCTCCAGAAACGCTGTGCCAAACTGCGGCGCGCAGCATGCGCTTGCAGATTTTGGCCTGGGGGGGCAAAGCGTTGCCAGTCACCTAGTCACCCAGGCAGCTGGTGGAAGAGAAGTTTGGCCTCTCCACAGAGGACTGGAGCTGAAAGGGTCCAGCATGGTCCAGAGTTCGAGACATGGAAGCCTCGGCACGGTTCGATGGAGGACCTAGCTCTGCTGGGTGAAGATGCGCCGGAAATCGTGGATTTCCAGGCTGGAATGTCGCACAGGGTTGCAGTGTCACGCGGCCACTTGCGGCTTGCAGGCTGACAGAATGGACTGAAGCGGAGGTGGCGTTTCGCAGAAAGCATCGCACCAGCTGGTTTATGCAGGACATTTAGTGGAATGTGACCAGTCGTTGGTATCCATGGCGAACACAGGTGTGGACCGTTACTGACTATTCAGGTTGCTGGTTTTTGTTGCTAGTGTTGATGTTGTAAATTTAGATTTTAACCTCAATCTGGCCGCTCCGGCCATCCAAGGGAGGCACAGCTGGGCACATTGGGCGGCCAGTAAATGAAGGTCTCACTCTCTCTCTTTCTCTCTCACTCTCTCTCTCTCTCTTTCTCTCTCACTCTCTCTCTCTCTCTCTTTCTCTCTCTTTCTCCATCTTCTCTGTCTCTTTCTCTTTCCTTCATCTCTGGCAGGCAGACTTGTGGTGTGTGCTTGCGCGTGTGCGTGCGCGTGCGCCCGTGCGTGCGCGTGCGTGCTTGCGTGCGTGCGTGTGTGTGTGTGTGTGTGCGGACTCGCTCACCAGTCTTTACCACTTGTCCTCTTCTTGCACTTTAAGATGTCCATCTCAGCTATCTATTTTCGTTTGGGTGATTGCCTGCACGTTGTCGCAGCTGGTACCGTTTAGCTGCAAGCTTGAGTGGACAAAACAACAGGAGAGGTCATGACTATGACGTGTGAACTTGTTGGCACACCCGTTGCTTTGTTGCAGTCTTCGCTGAGTGCCGATGTTGGAAGCTTATCTAAAGGGATGAGACAAACACACGAATAGCTGCGCAAAAAGCACTGCAAGACAAATTGAGAAGGAACTCCGAAAGCAAGGCAAAAGACAAAGCGAGGCTTCAACTGAACTTTTGCTCATGCAGACTAAGCCAAAACAAGACCCCAATGAAAAGGTACCGAAGCTTTCTTATATCACAGTCTACCTGTTCGAGTTTTTGGTGGCGCAATGGCTTTGATGACGAGAAAGCCGTCATGGATACTGTGCCGAGCGGGGATGCTCTGGCAGATGACACAACAACTTGTCTCTGTCAAGCCCGCCGCAGATACCACGGCAGGCCAGGTAGAAGTGCAGGCAAATAGGCTAGATCGCACGACACCGATCTGACGCATGCCAACTTGGTGTCACCCTTCAGTAGTTGAGGAATGGCTGAAGATACAGATCTGGAAATGGATGCGCCCCCTGTCAGAGCTGACATTTCGCAAGATCCAGCAGCTGCTGGTGCTTCTTCGGGTCAACGTGGACAAACCATCAAGATATCGGTGAAGACGATGCTCTTTGTTCCATTTCTGGTGGCCATGGGATTTTAATAAACCGTCGCAAGGCAGACTATGAGAAGTTTGAGGTAGTCAACCTGGGAACCGCCGCCGGGAACGTCGGCGACCTGCCTTTTTGTTGACCGTCAGCCTGGCAAGTTGCAGGCGTTCTTTTTGCGTTGTATTTGTGAGCTCTTTTGGTGGCTGCAACACAACATTGCAGAAGGACTGACGCCTTGCATATATTTGCGGATGCCGATGCTGGTTTGGGAAAGGTACCGTGCACACAGGCGACCGTGGGCTTTGAAGCATGTCAACCACACGGTGTAATCCTGTGGGTCATTCTGCGATCAGGAGGTAGTGTCGTCACAATGTGTCGCCACCGGGCAATGCGTCGTCAAGGGGAACTGTGTCATCACTGAATGTGTCATCATGATGTGTCACCGGGTCATGCGTCAAAGGGTGGTGTATCGTCACCGGATGTGTCGTTAAAATGCGTCGCCAACGTGTAGTGCGTCTTCAGCAAAGTATGTGAAATCGAATGTGTTGTCATGATGCGTCGCGAACTGGTAAAAGCGTCGGGCAACGGGTAGTGCCAACCGAATCCGTCGTGAATACGTCACCACCGAAAGTGTCGCCTTCACCAGCATCACGGCGAATAGCCCTGGTATCAATAAAACTGAATGATAACTCTGTCTTGTCTATTGGCTTGTTTGTCTATTTCTCTATCTAGCAATCTACCTTCTATATCTCTCTATCTCTATCTATTTATCTATCTGCCTATCTACCTGTATCCCAATCTACCTATCTACCTATCCAATCTATCTATGTATTTATTTACTTATTTACCTATCTACCTATCTATCTATTCATCTAGCCATCTATATACTCTATCTCGCTCCTCCATCACTCTTTCCATATATCAATTTATTGTTCTATCTACCTACTTCACCCTGCGAAAGTCCTGCGGCTGCCGGGAAATCTGTACTGACCTTGCGAAGGTGCTGCGCTTGCCACGCCATTCAAACCCTGACCTTCGCGTTGCCATGCGAAGGGTCCGCGCTCCGAACGCGCCCCGAGACCGCTCCCAGGCGCCATGATCAGGCTAACTTTCCAGCATTCCAAAAAGCTGGGAGAGGGTTGCACTTTTGGGCATGTCAATTCGGCTCTTGAGATCCTAGCTTTCTGCTCCCGCAGCGCAACCGGACCGAATATGTCCGAATTGTTGGTTGCTTCCAGCGGCCCAGCTCTCACATCTCCAGATGTTATCGCGCAAGCCAGGATTCTGGCGCTTGCGCCCTCTGCCTGTCTCTCTGTTTGTCCAGGTTTGTCTTTGTCTTTGTCTGTCATTGTCAACGTCTGTCTATCTCCGTCCATCTCTGTCTGCCCCTGTCTGCCCCTGTCTGTCTCTTTCTGTTGGTGTTTGTGTCTCTTTGCCTTTGTCTGTCTCTGTCTCTCTGTTTGTCTCGATCTGCCCGTGTCGATCTTTGTCTTTGTTTGTTTGTGTTTGCCTGTAGTCATTGCAAGCAGTCATTGCAAGGAGTCATTGCAAGGAGTCATTGCAATTGGAGTCATTGCAATTAAAGTCATTGCAAGGAGTCATTGCAAGGAGTCATTGCAAGGAGCCGTTGCAAGGAGTCAAGTGCAAGTTGCAAGTGCAAGGAGCCAAGTGCAAGTTGCAAGTGCAAGGAGTCAAGTGCAAGTTGCAAGTGCATGGAGTCAAGTGCAAGTTGCAAGCACTAAGTGCAAGGAGTTAAGTGCAAGTTGCAAGTGCAAGGAGCCAAGTGCAATTGACTTGCGAGGAGTTAAAATCTCTTCTTAGGGCGGCGGGGTAGTGCCGATGAGACTACACGAAAATCGACCCTCTGCGGGGATCGGCGTGGTCGAGGTGCAAAAACCCATGGTTTTTTTCGATTTCTAAAGTTCCCGCGCGACCCTCTGCGGGGATCGGCGTGGTCGAGGTGCAAAAACTCGAGGCTTTTTTGCGATTTCTGCGGTGCTCGCGCGACCTTCTGCGGGGATCGGCGTGGTCGAGGTGCAAAAGCCCATGGTTTTTTGCGATTTCTAAAGTTCCCGCGCGACCCTCTGCAGGGATCGGCGTGGTCGAGGTGCAAAAACTCAAGGTGTTTTTGCGATTTCTGCGGTGCTCGCGCGACCCTCTGCGGGGATCGGCGTGGTCGAGGTGCAAAAACCCATGGTTTTTTTTTTCGATTTCTGCGGTGCCCGCGCGACCCTCTGCGGGGATCGGCGTGGTCGAGGTGCAAAAACTCGAGGTTTTTTGCGATTTCTGCGGTGCTCGCGCAACCCTCTGGGAATCGGCGTGGTCGAGGTGCAAAAACTCAAGGTTTTTTGTGACTTTTGTTGTTCGAGCTGGTCCTCGGGAGTTGTCTCGTGGTTCGCGCGCCTGCTCCCGGAACCGGCGTGTCGCGGGTTCAATTCCTCCCTGGTCCGCGGGCGGGCGTCGCAAAATGCAACTTGCATTTTAAAGCAACTTGCGCAGAGCAACTTGCGCAAAGCAAGTTGCACAGAGCAACTTGCGCAGACCAACTTGCACCGACCAGTGTGCGCAAAGCGCCTTGCCTAGAGCAACTTGCGCAGAGCAACTCACGCAGAGCAACTTGCACAGAGCAACTTGCGCAGACCAACTTGCACCGACCAGTGTGCGCAAAGCGCCTTGCCTAGAGCAACTTGCGCAGAGCAACTTGCAGGGAGCGCAATTTGCACAGAGCAACTTGCAGGGAGCCACTTGCAGGGGCCAACTTGCCGGAGCAACTTGCGCGGAGCAACTTGCGCAGAGCAACTTGCACAGTGCAACTTGCGTAGAGCAACTTGCGCAGACCAACTTGCACCGACCAGTTTGCGCAGAGCACCTTGCCTGGTGCTGTCCCACGCTTGCTTCACAAATGCTTCGTGGAGGGAAAAAGAACGCATCCTGCAGCGTTGGGCCGGCCTCGCTTGCGATGTTATGCTTTCGGGCCAACCGTGGTCTAGTTGTTTGTACCAGTTGGTAAAGATATTAAGATTATAACTTCTATAAAATAAGTTCTTCTAAACTTACAATATGTATATGTGCAAGGGTCAAAACACGTTATGTAGAGGTCTTCATTGCGGCCGCCGTGACATAACTTTTTTTTTTGAAAAACATGTGTGTAGCGACAGGGGGCCTTGAGTAGCGACACCCCTGTTTAGGGCTTGCATGTATGTAAGTCCCCGTGGAACATGTTTGTAAGTACCTTTTTACTTGCATGGGAACGGAAGTACGTGCTGAACACATCGTGGAAGTCTAAGTCCCGGCTGCGACGCAAGACAGGTTTGAAGGATCTCGTCTTGGCAGTTTGAGCGTTCCAGTTTAAGAGGTGCTCCGTCGCCTTGGCGGGGACAGGCGACGATGCAAGCAAAAAAGAGGCACTGTGCTTTTGAACTAGGGTTCCGGCAGCCCCTGGGAAAAAATCCGGCACCCGTAGCGACACCCAAAGCGACACCTTTCAGATTATGGAGCGACACCCAAAATCCCTTCAGGTAGGCAGTTGCCCCTTCGCGTACTACACTTGTACTACAAGGTTGCGATTTTCAAGCTGGGGCTGCAGACGTGTACTTCGCGTGCTACACTTGTACTACAAAGCTGCGATTTTCAAGCTGGGGCTGCGGACGCGTACTTCGAGTGCTACACTTGTACTACAAAGCTAGGAGCATGTCCTTGGCGTAGAGGAGCCGGCGGGAAGTGATCGTCCCGTGTGTCGAGCAAGCACTACCATCCCTTCCGCAGTAGCCCATGGGGAAAAGGCATGAAAGGAA